CACATCATCTGTCTCAACATCAATGTTTGTATCAATCATAGCTTACTCATGCTCTTCTATCCCCTCAATATCGGTTATCACATGACTTATTCAACAAATTCAAGTCACATATAACACACTTAGCTCGTTTTATTCCCCATCTTTCATTTACAACAATTTCAATCAACAAATAAAACTCATCCTCAATCCCCATTACTCCCCAACACAATTAGAAAAGTAGTCATGTGTAGTCTAAGAGTTTAACAAAGTTTAGAAGTCAGTTGCCTCAAAACACTTCAACTAGTAACTCAAATTTGAGTTTTACCCTTCCGAGCACGCTCCAAATCACCACAATCTATTCATAAATGGAATCTCACAATCAATACGAATCTAACAACACCAATATCGTGAAATTTGGAGAAAAGGGTAAAATGGTCAAAAAAATATTGTTTCGAAAAATATTCTCGAAATCTGGAAATTTTTAGTGAAAAATGTTCCCCAAGAAATTTAGAATCCAATAGTGAAAACCGTTTCGAAAAAGGAGTTGAAATGAGTTCACAAACTCAAATTTTCTATTAAATTCGGATTAGGCGAAAACCCCCAAATTTTTCAGTTGAGATCTCAAATTTTGATGTTAAAATCCATAAATAATCGATGGAAATCAAAGATATAAGTTGGAAATAACTTACCCAATGAATTCCTTGCAAAGAAAACCCACTTGAAATCACCTATTTTCGAGCTCTCAAAGTCTAAAAATGGAGAAATGGGTATTTTTCAAGTTGGGGGAAAATGGCTACTGTTTTTTGACTTAAAAAGGACTGCTATTGCAGCTGAAACACAACAATAACACCAAAGTTTAAGTCCCCGTTGGACCCTCGGGATTCGTTCGGAATCTCGTGCACACAATCTAAATATGTACCCCCACTAAATTCGACGTTCCGGACTCAATGGAACCGTCAGAATTTGAATTCGAGGACTCCTTGACCCGAAATTCAATAAGATGCCAAGAAACTAGTTTAACGCCAAAAAAATTCGAAACTCAAACGGAGCGTCTAAAAATTCAACCAAGACTCATTCTAGACTTAGAATCGCCTCCCGAAACCAACGGTACTCTCGGAATTTCAATCCGAGCCTCAGAACCTCATATGTTGACCAAAGTCAACTCTTTATCACAATTTCACAACTTTAGCAACTTAGGACCTCAATTCTTCGTTTCAACTCCAAATTCAACTCCGTAACTTCACACATACCCGTTTCGACATTCCAAAACTGCCGGAATCGACGGAAATCCGATCCAAGTCCCGAAACTCCAAATAACTCGAAAAAGCACTTTTTAAACAACTTTAACTCATAAAAACTCAACTTCTCAAAAACTCAACTTTTTACCAACTTTTCCTCAAACTAACTTTACAACCACAAAACATGGGACTCGGGGCAACTACCGAAAGGGCAAAATAGTCATTTCCACGAAAATTACCAAAATGACCTTTCGGGTCATTACATCAATATATATAATCGTAGCTAAAAGCTAAGCTTGTAAGGATAACTTTTTTGCCACTAATCACAAACTCTTGATGATGTTTTATTTCGTAGTACTATTTATAGTTTGTATTTAATTAGGCTGTCATTAATTTAAAATTTTATATTTTCCTTACAATTATTAAATAGTATATATATATCTTAAATTTCGTAGTTTGAAGCAGTTTATACAAATTGCTGAAAATAACATACTTAAGCAAGATAATAACAAAAAAATTCTACACACTATCATATAGTAAAAAGAGCAATTAAAATGACATGCATTGAGATATATCTCATTACACACTCCTTGGAGAAAAATTAATATTTATATTCAATCCGAAAGTCTTTCGTTTGGACATGTGTTTTGAAATCAATGATTTGAAATTGTATTGATATAAAATTGAAGTTTTATTTGGACTTGCAATTTAAATTTCTTAAGTTATATTTTTTAAAAATAAACATAAATACTCCATAAGTTGTAGAGGCAAAACTATCGAATTTTTCTCAATTCTTATAATCTTACCAACAGGGGCGTATCTAGAGGGGGTGCAGTGGGTTCACGTGAACCCATGCTCCCCCCTCTAGATTATATATAGTAGTGTTATATGTTAAAAAAATGTTTAAATATAGATATGTGAACCCACGTTCAAAGTATCATATAATAATATGATGATGATAGGGTGCACCTCTCTGAGTGTGGATAGAAATTTAAATCTTATATCTATCTTCTGTTTTTGAGTAGCACCTCTCCAAGTGGTTATCGGTTACACTTTTGGCGTTTCAACTAATTTTTCTTAAATCTTTCAAAATTTTCCAGTGTGTTACATTGGAAATTCTTAAAAAAATTTAGCACTATAATTTTTTTTTTATATAATTAAATCAAATGTGTATATTAAAATTTAAAAGTAGTAGTATTATATATTTTGGACCTATAATTTTTAAAATTTAATGGTTCATGTTAAGTACCTAAAAGTCAAACTGATCAAATTTATATTTAAGAAATATTTTTTCGTAATCGCGCACCCATTTTACCGAAATCCTGGATACGCCTCTGCTTACCAAATGAGTATATTATGATTCATAAACAAGATTTTTGAAATATCCTAAAACGGCATTAACAAATCACATATCTCCAATTCTCCATGTTCCTTTTCTAACGAAATGCTTATGATTACAAATTTTAAAATATACATAATTTATAAAGATCCACTAGTCATTATTAATAGTAATAATTGATTATTCTTTAATGTAATCTGTTGACATGGTACACAAACTTTTTGCCAAGCATGAGTCTTTTTTTTTTGCAAATTTAAAATGGTAAGCCATTTTTTTAATTATAAAATATAAACTTATGAGTCAAATTTTATATTTTTTTAAAAATGACATCATGATTTGAAATTTCAAATCTTGCTTTTTAAAGAATTTAAGATTTAAAATCACGATCTCAAATTACATATTCAAATACTAATTTAAAATCATGACTTCATAAGTACTATAATATCTAAACACAAGCTAAGATTAAAAAAAAGTACAGAAAATTTTGTACTAGTCTATTTGATAGGGCTAGCTAGTACAGGGTTAAGAGTCCCACATGCACCAATTAAAAGAGTGGATTTTGAAGAACTAATAGATATAGATAGATGAAGCGTAAAAGTAAAACATATTGAATAGGTTAGGTACAATTTTGACTATCTTCTATAGAAGAGTTTTGACAATTCTCATTACTCTTTAAAACCTAATGATTGGTCTAATATTTTTTTTTAATTTGATCTTAAATGACTTAATCTTCTTCTTGGACAACAATCTTAAAATTGCTCGATTAGAGTCCTAAAATTGACTATATATTTACAGTTAAATACTCATTTGTAATGTTTTGTTTATCTAAATAAGATATTTGATTTATCACCCGAAAATACTATAAAAATTGTGCTATATATTATTATTCTTTTCATTGTTAGTAGATTTTATTTTAATTTCATTGTATTGAATTTTTTAACGTGTATGATTGTGGTTTTACTTGCTCTTTAAATTTAAAAAAAAAGAAAGATATCAAGTGAACTTTCAAGCTACTTTACGTATATTATATATTTAAAGAGTTAATTTAGCATCCTAATATATTATCCATTCAGAAATGAGCATCCTACTTTCACCTTTGATTTGTCTTAATTACATGAACTTCATCTGCTTTATGTATTATATATTGTAATTTAAAATGTGTGCTAAGAAAAAGTAATTATTTGTCTCTTAATTATAATTCTTTAAAGTTTATGTAGGATTGTTATTAAAATATAGAAAAAGTAATGTTGGATTTTACAAGTTTGATTTTTTTAACTACTTATTGGATTGGTTGGAGTACTTCCTTGAAATATCGATCAACATATATTGCTTTAAATCGTGATTCTCGGTGTAAAAATGGTTTTTTTTTTTACTACACAATGCATGAAAATATCGCCAATTTGGAAGACATTCAGTATTCATTTGAGTTCAATACTCATGTAAACTAAAAATAAGACCATATTTCATCTTTTCGAACTTGCACTTTTTTTATATATATTTATTGTCTCTACCTAACACGTACTTCAAAAGATATTATACTACCTCCGTCCACTATTAAATGTCATAGTTTTCTTTTTTAGAGAAACTATAAAAACTTTGACTAACATTTTACGATGTAATTTTTCATCACATTGATATGCAAAAAATTGCAATTTATAGTACTTTTCGTATAGTTTTTGAATATCTAAATTTTTTGTTTACAATATCGAATTAATGTAATTTAATTTAACTTAACTTTGAAAATTAGTCAAATTGACTTTGGAAAAGCGTAACATGAAAAAATAAAAGTGGGTGAAAGGAGTACTAATCATATATAAGATAGAAACTACTATAAAACAACTAGCATCTCTTTTGTACAATATTGTTCGAGAAATGCTTGTGCACTACACGGGCTAGGGCACAAGCATTTGTCGAACAATATTATACAATATGCATGTGTGATGCAACATTGGAGAAGGTAATTTCATGCTTTTTTTAGTTCTTTAATAGGATTACCAAAAAGAGCAAAAAGATGCCATCAAGCTAAATTATAATACTCCTTTTGATCTGTTTAAAAAAGAATGACTTAATTTAACTTGATACAGAGTTTAAAAAAATAAAGAAGACTTTTCAATCTTGTCATCCTAAATTAAAGTTATATAAAAAAATATCAAAATATCATTTAATCTTGTGGTTTTGAACATGTTATGTGGAAAACTGAAATTAAAATTTTGCCAAAAAAAGAAATGTGTCATTCTTTTTCAAACAGACTAATAAGGAAACTGGGTCATTCTTTTTTAAACGGAGATATGTTTCATATTGTATATTAATGATTCTTCTTGGAATAAATCCCTTACTCAAGAAAGATTATATAGTTACATAGATTGCAACTTTATTTAGGAGTAAAATACTATTTCAAATGCTTTCATAAGAAGCAACAGAATCATATTTTTAGTATATATAGCTTAAGAGAATTTATTTCGAAGTTGTGCAATCTCTGTCTTATTCAGCTGGAAGCTTTTGGCAAGAATGTCGTCCATAATAGGCGGTTCTGAAGCAAAGATTGAACTAGGAATCGTGATGAGTCCAGGATTTTGACTGTTGTAAGAGCCAAAAACAACAGCTTTTTTGTGTCCCACATTATACAGGAAGTGAATAAGACCTATTGGGAACACAAACACATCGCCAGGATTCAAGATTTTGGAGAAGAGACGACTCTTAAAGAAGTTTACAGGATCAGGAACAAGAAATCCTACGTACAGAGTACCCTCCAGGACAGTTATCAGCTCAGTAGCTCGAGGATGCATGTGAAATGGAAAAAGACTTTGTGGTTCAATGTCAGCACGAGAAGTAGAAATACCAAGAGTGTTAAGTCCAGGCATTTCTTTTACACCCACAATAGTTACAGCAATACCATACTTAGGGTATACATCTCTACTAAAATTAAGACTTGAAAAATAGAAATCATTTGGTGTTGCAAGCTTTGGGTCTTTGCAAATCTTTCCATTCACAAAAACTGCACAAGTAAAATAAAGTGAAGCTAAGTAACATATTCAGATAACAAAAACTATGCCTCATTCCGAAACAAATAAATAATATAGAAGGAGGATTTACCTGAAGCCTGAGAGTCGTTAACAGCAACACATGAAAGAAGTAATGACTAAACTTGTTATGAACCACCACATGCTCATTGTAATGATTTTTGTTTTGCAATCAACCACAAAGGTGTGACTATTTATAGTTTGAAATATACGAGATAAATATTATGTATTGAAAATTCTGCATCGACATTATTTGATAGGGCTAGTGTTGACACCCAATTTTGGCTCTCCACATTTAACTATAGTAATAATTATAATAATAATAATAAAATATATATGTTATGAAATTTTTCATAGGAATACAAAAAAAAATTATTTGACGATAAATTTATGTTATTTCTTATAAAAATTAAAGATATTATATTACTCCTTACTTTCTCATTTTTTTTTAAATAAATGTTGTTCTTCTTAAGAATTGAATCTATTTTTTATTCAAATATAATTCCTTTTGTCGCAATAGATATTTTTCATACATTTATTAAAATTAGAAAGCTTAGTTAATGAATGATTTACTAATTTATATTAATTTAATTTTAAGAGTGACTAATTTTATCAAATAAGCTAATCTTGCAAAATAATTATCACTTATGGCTATTTAATAAAGAAAGTAGTTATAATTTAAATGAATTCAATTTGAGCAAATTTGGCAATCCAAGTCTTATTAAACCGGCCAATCCGTGTATGCCACGTAGGCGAGCACATTGATTGTGCTTCTTTAGATTCGATCTCAGCCTTACAATCTAATCTAATGGCCTTAATTAATTCATCCTTTTACTATTTTATATATATATATATATATATATATATATATATATATATAATTATTATTTATTTTCAAACTCTTTATTTTTACCAACCGTCCGATCAAATGATCGGACGGACCAAATTAAATACTAAAGCTTTTCATCTTTTCCCAAAATTGTACAACCCCTACCGGCCCCTAATCTTTCAACTCCGCAGGTTCCTTCTTCCCCAGAAGTTTCACCCCTTTCCCAGATCCTGCCAAAGAAAACGGCTATGGACCGCCGGAAAACAAGAACATCCGGCGGTTTCCAGCATCATCTCAACCCCCATCGCCTCACAGCTTCTCCCCCTTCCCCAGGTGTTCTCCATCCCCATGCCCCGTCACTCCTTTGTCCCATCAAGTTCAGCCATGAACCGCCGGAAAATAACAATATCCGGCGGTATCTTGCTTTATGTCTCCTCCGTCATCCCTTTTCCAACAAAAGGAGACACCCTATGCCGCCTATACCTTACCCTAACGGCTTCAAAAATCTGAAAAGGTGATATTGATTTGATCTGTAGCAGCAGCTCTCTACTTTCCAGTGAGTATTTTGATTTCAAATTCGGAGTTTTGAGTTTGATTTTCACCTATAAAAGGATGGTGTTTTCCCATCCGAAAATCACCAACAACCATAGAGAAAAACGGGTAAGAACAGCAATTAAGAATCCAACAATAGATATAAGAACATATAGAAACAATATATTTCAAAAGGGTTACAGTTCGATCAAAATTTCTCTTCTCTTCTTTTGTTTTCGATTTTTGGGGTTCGAGTTCAAGTAAGATTGAGGTCGGAATCCTTGACATCAAAGCCTTTGTTTGCTGCTCTACACAAGGTCCGTAATCTCCCCTATTTTTAGTTTATTTTCATGAATCGATTATGGTCGTTTAAATGTCCTCATCTTTGATCTAGTTTTCTGATGTATGTTAAATGTTTTCTAGAATCTGCCTCGTTTTAGTTTTGGTTCAAAATCAGCCTGTAATAGGTTCAAGGGTTGAAGTTATGAATCTGGATGGGAAATTACTATTTGATTGGATTCTGAAATGTGATAAATGATTATTTTGGGGCATATTTTTCCTTAACGTTTTTAGCATGCTACATACATAAGTTTCAAATTAAGCTAACTTCGGATTAGTTATTCACTAAAACGATCGGATTCATGAGTCTTACACTTGTTGTCTTGTTACTCTTTTCGATTGAAGAATTCCTCTGCTTTCTATATAAATTCCGATAAGTTTCTCTCTTTGTTCTCACATCTCAACTAAGTGACTAGAAGAATTCTCTGTCAAACGCCTAATGTTTCACATTTGATATAGCCAAACTTGGTCCATATGTTGATAGGCTTAAGCAATTTATCATTTTAGCGTCATATATGATTCTGCGAACTTAGCTCCTATCCCATGTATTTATTTCATCCTGCTCTAAGTATTGGACCTTCACTTGGTGTTTTACTCAGCTCCTCACTAATCTTTGTCATCAACCCCATGCTTTGCTTCAACCTTATCAAAACTTTGACTTTAAATTTGATCAGTGTTTCATGAATGGTTGTTCTTCATGTTCAAAAGGGTTGGAATATTTATCATGTTACTAGTAGATGATTGCCAATATGTTACAATGGTGGGACTACAAAGTTTCAAACTTTATCTATCATTTTCCATAAATGATAATTGTGCATAGTGATATCTCTGCATACCAGGGAGCTTTCCTATAAATTAGAAGAGCAATAAAGAAGTGAGAACTTATTAATGTGTTAGTTACACTCTTCTTTTGGCTAAGTTGTTTTTGACTTTGTTAGCAAACTAACTACTAGTGTACGGTAATGTTTAATCTTGATATTAGTTGGGTTAACTTTATAACTTTGTGGTGATAGGGTTAAAGGTTTAGACATTGATTATATTTTTTAGAAACGTTATATGTGAATATTGTTTATTTCTTTTGTTAGACTAAAATGATAAATACATATGTATTCCTATGTTTCCATAGACAGTTGCAGACATACTTGAGCTCACTTTATGATGTATAAAATATATTAAAAATTATGTACACCAAATCTAACTTACAGAAAGAGGTTAATCTGTAGAAAATCATGTCGATTAAAATGTGATTGCTGGTACAAGTTAACTCAAATCTGGGTTAACAGATGGCTAAGTGAAATTCATTTTGATTTTCTTTTCATAAGTTTGAAGCTCATTTGCTAAATTTTTTTTCTTTCTTTCTTATTTTTTGTACATGTACACTTGGGAGTGCATTTGGAGTTGTGATACGACTCCATTCATCTGTCCAAATCAGATTTGTGTTTGCCTACGATATCGCTTGTGTCTAGCAGCCCCACCGCATCGATAGTGTCTAGTGCCTCTTCTTCTCTTTAAGAATTTATGTCTTCAAAATATATATAATTTTGCTTCTAATTAACGTTATAGAATTGCAGTTTTGTGTTTGATATTTGCTCTTGTTTACCGTGTTTTGTAGAGGACATTATGCTATATTGGTGAGTTTATGTCATTTACTCAATTAATGTCGCACTTGTGGTGATGCCACACATAGAATGTTACGACTATTATTTGTTTTTTTTAAAAAAACATTCGTTACTAACAACATTTGTAGCTATCCTTTTACTTAGAATAAGAGTACAAAATATAGATTCTAAAGGTTTAAAAGTGCAGATTTTCTAGCTTAAAAAAGGGACAGATTTTGAGAGCCTTGAGGGGTAACAATTTGAACATTAAAATGCACATTCTGAGTGCAATAAAACACATCTTTTTTCTTAAAATTTTGTAAGTGTTGGAATTTGGTACGTAGAAGTGTTTATGTTTTAGACTAATAATACAATTTTTTTGAGAACCTTAAATTGGGTAGATTAGTTGATAGAACACAACTTTCAAATGGAATACAATAATTATTTTCTTTAAAAACAAAAATGGCCTAGAATTTGGTCCCCATCCTTTAAGTTGGTTTATTTTTTTTATTCTTTTTTTTTTTATTTTAAAACTTTTACGCAATAAATTATATCCATTTTTAAAGCCTCTGGCTCATAAAAAATAATAATTAAATTTTAACTAATTTTCTTAGATTATAGCAGACATTGTTTCATTCTCGAGATTGTTTATAGTTATCATTTTATAAAATCTTATATATTAACGCTTTCTATTAAAGCTAGTTTATATTATGTTAATATTTCCTCTTAAAACCCTTTTTATAAGTTGTCTTTTAATTTTGGTCGGTTAACGATTTTAAAACAAACCCTTTTTAAAAAAATAAAATAAAAATAAAAGAGCTTTCAATTTCTCTCCCTTAGGATAATTAGGATTTCTTACCTAGAATTATATAAGTTTTAGTAGACCCTTAATAGGAGTTAACCATAACATTATTTAGTCCAATATTTAGATGCCCCTAATTCTTCATCTTTGAAATAATTAGGCGATTCTTAGATCCTTCAAGACTAAGGGTGGAGGAGTGATGAGTTGGGGTGGGTAACCAATAGTTAGACCCATTTTATTTTATTATCTCTTTTACATCAACCTTTTTTCGAATATATATATATATATATATATATATATATATATATATATATATATATATATATATATATATTTACCATCATCATTTAAAAAAACAAAATAAAATCAAATATTACTAGAACATTTTAATTTCTTAACATGTTATTTCAAGATTTTAGATATGCTAACAGGTTCGAAATACAAGGTACATATATATATATATATATATATATATATATGTCATACGCAAAAAGGTACAAATCCTATATTTTTCGGTTTTCTCTATACGTAACTCATTATTTTGTTACACTTCATATTACTTTATCACATATCTACTATCTCTTTTACTAATATTATTTATTTATTTTTATAATTTATAAATTCCTACACTTCACACATATTATTTTGCTAAATCTAATCTATCGTTAACTTATCCCTACATGTAAAAGGAATGATAAACATTCATATATTTTACACAACTTACATGTATATACCACACTTGATAATAAACAGATTTAAGATTACAAACCTTCATATAATATTTTAACATCTAGTATTTTTTATTCTATTTTATTTTAGAAAACTCCATTTTACGTATTTTCATTCAAATTACACATCCCATATTACTACGTATTC